CGTAAAATTGGAGATGTCTTGGCGACGTTTCGACAAAGTCTCATTCGTCATCTTCAGGCTTGTTTGCTCGGATTCGTGCTTCCAGGAGCAATGTGAGAGCTCGGCTGTGCAGTTAAAAGGAAGAAACAGCCGAGATCTCACATTGCTCCTGGAAGAACCAATCCGAGCAAACAAGCCTGAAGATGACGAATGAGACTTTGTCGAAACGTCGCCAAGACATCTCCAATTTTACGCGGGAGAAAACCCGAATAACTAAAGACCTACATATATATATATATGAAATATATATATTTCATTTCTTTTTTTTAAAATAGTTTTTATTAAATATTTTCAAGTTTAAAAACCACAAACACAAGAAAAAAAATGCAAAAACTAATACAAAGCAAATAAAAACACAAACAATATAACCATATAATATAATTTTACAGCCCCCCCCCCCGTATTGGCATGCATATTCTGCTTTTGTAGTTTACTATTTGATTATTACCTTCTCCTAGTTCTTAACGATTCTAATAATAATAGAATAATTACAATAACTATATTATAATATGACAGTATAGTGCATATAATCAAATTTTACATATGCACATTTTTCTTCACGGTGTAATCCATTGTTTTTAAAAAACTTTTATTTCTTGTTTCGACTTCTGTTCTCCATCCAATTGTAGAGTCTCCTCCAGGTTTAATAAATACTCCGAGCCTTCTTTTTCTTTTAACTCCATGGTTATCCTATCCATTTCTGCACATTTGAGTATCTTCCCGATTACCATTTCATCCGTGGGTAGTTTTCGTTTTCCAATTTTGCGCAAAAGCGATCCTTGCAGTGGTTAGTATGTGTAATGTTATATATTGATATTTCTTATTCATCTCTGGCTCTAATATGCCTAATTAACACAATTCACAATTTCAATGCTGTCCTCCGTTCCTTGATCCCTTCCCGCCAGTCCTTGATTTTAAGCTAGGATTTCCTGGCGTGGGAACGTGCCCAGATTGATGGCTACGGGGTTTTCTCGTTTCTAAATGGCATTTTTGGGGGGGTTTCTTCCCGCTCTCATCCTGCCCCCCCCCTCATCCAAGCCTGTCTCTCTCTGACCCTCTTTCTCTCCCCCCTCCCCACTTGCAGGGGTCTGGACGGCAAAGGAAGAACATGAATGAATTTCTCGGTGATGCCAGGATCCCAAATCCTGACCTTTTGCCCCCTACGGCTGCGGCCCCTTCCCCAGTGCCCAATGGGCCCGACACACGGAAGAACCGGGCGGCCAGCCGTTTCAGCGGCTTCTTCGGGTCGAGCAACAGCGGCAGTTCGTTCCCCAGGGTGCGTTTCCCCCCCCTGCCCCCCCCGCTTTACGGCCAGCTTGCACCCCGAGTTTATTCCTCTGCAGGGGAAAAAAAAAGGATTTTGATGGTGGCCTATGTCTTTCCTTTCCCCCCCTCTGCTGAGATAGAGCCTCCCTGTGCAGGAGCAGAGTATCGGGAAATGGGGATGGGTTGGGGAAGGGGGGTTGGAGGCAGGAGGAATTGGCCTGGGGGTTCTTTCAGCTTTTTTGAGGGGTGGGAAGGAAAGGAGAGGAAGGGAAAAATACAAGGGAAAAGGAATGGAATGTTTAGGCGAAGGAAATTTCCTTCCTTTTTTCCCTCCCTCCCTCTTTCTTTTCTTCCTTCCTTCCTTCCTTCCTCCCCTCCTTCCCCCCCTTCATCTCTTCCCTCCCTCTTCTTCGTTCCTTCCTCCCCTCTCTCTTCTTCCTTCCTTCCCTCCCTTTCCTCCCTCCCTCATCTCCCTCCCTCCATCCCCTCCCCTTTTCTTCCTTCCTCCCTTCCCTCCCTTCTTTCCTTCCTCCCTCCCTTCCTCTTCTCCCCCCTTCCTTCTTCCCACCATCCCTTCCTTCTCCGGTGTGGCTCTCTCTCAGCCCCCCCTCTCCTCTCTCTGCCCCCCTCCCAGGAGCTGGACAAGACGGAGCAGCTGGAGGCCAAACTGCAGTCCTACGGCCTCTTCGGCCTCCCCCGGCTGCCCGAGCAGCTGCGCTTCGACCAGGACTCCTGGGAGGACGGAGAGGAGGAGGACGAGGCCGGGCTTCGGATGGAGGACAGCTGGCAGCAGATCATCCAGGGCGCCGAGGTGGGCTTTCTTTCTTTCTTTCTTTCTTTCTTTCTTTCTTTCTTTCTTTCTTTCTTTCTTTCTTTCTTTCTTTCTTTCTTTCTTTCTTTCTTTCTTT